TTACGTATATTATTATTATAATTAATCAAGTGTCGATTATTAAATATAGCGTGGAAAATAAATTTAAAACCTGATTACGTAAATGATTTTGGTGGCGATACTAGGTGGGTCTAGCATGTCATGAGTGCCTTTATATTCATCCTATTCAACTCAAATTCCATTAAGCTAATAAATTCCAATACTATTTGTTTTATTGGTATTAACTCATCTTTGCTGATTTTTGTTAATAAATGTTTTATGTACGTTTTTTTTAACTCCAATTCCATTAAGGTAACAAATCCACCATTATATATTTCAATAGGCGTCCTATCTTTGCTGAATATCTTATATTCATTCTTTTCAACTGCAACTATATTTCGATAACAATATCCAACATTAGCTGTTCCATAATGCCACTATATTTGCTGATTTTTGGTAATAAATAAATGCCTTTATGTTCATCCTTTTTAAATCCAATTCTAACAAGATAATAAATCTAATGTTATATGTTCTGATAGGTGTTGAATGTCTTATGTTCATTTTTTTCAACTCCAATTTCATTTGGATATTATATTTTAACCCGATTTGCTAATTTTAAATAATATGTTTTTTGATGAGAAAAATGCGCAATTTAGAATAATATGCGCACAATTAAGGAATAAATATAATGCTTTTATTATTCAGTAGAGGGCTTGTCAATGAAGTGACATAGCAATCATTATTGCGTGATCAGACGACTTTATGATCAATTTGTAGATTTAACCTTTATAAATTTTGGATTAGTCTTTATAATAACTGATTAGACACTTTTTTATTATTATTATTATAATGATTGTATCTAATTGTTGAAACAACTATGATTAGAGATGTAACCAGCTCATTCGACTCTATTCATTAATCGGTTTTTATAATAGTTAAATATACAAATCGGATCAAGCAATAACATCCCTAGTTATGATAATTAGAGAATGGTAAGTAAAGCAATAGATAATTATATAGATTCCTATATGTAATTAATGTGTAAGACTTAAATGTTATTGAAGATAATATTAAATTACGAAAACATAAATTTATAATAATTACTAAAATGTAAGGGCGCCTTGGCTTTTTACATTTATATTTATAAAGGGCTATATAATTTATACTTAGTTTTAATAAAAAGCTTAATAAGCAATTTAATAAAAAGGAATTACCGTACAGCACGGACCACGGTACCCAGTGTGACGCAAAATTTTACTCAGTAAAAATTTAATCATCACGTGATTATGCATCACATGAATGTATAAATAGTATTTTAAAAAATCGATCTACACTATTTGTCACACTGGGTACCGTGGTCCGCGCTGTACGATAATCAATTAAGTAAATTAACAAAAATAATAAATTAATAATAAAAAGATTATTTTACATATTTCAGTGTTTAGATTAAAAAATAATCATTGTGTATTGGCTAATTTGACTTAATTTAAAGGCAAATTAGCGCAGATAATAAATTAATAAGAGGTGCATGCGTTGCTTTCAGATATTTAATTATATAATTATTGTTAATTATCATTATAATTGCCAGTTAAATTAATATAAATAAAAGGCTTAATAAAAAGAGATCCATATTATTTCACTGACAATCACTTCATAAACATCACATTTCATGACAATTATTTATTGACAAACTCATTTTATCAACAGTCTACTTTACTAAAGCTCTTTCACTAACAAAACTTTTGAAATGAACTTCAGTGAAATAGGCTGTAAGTAAAATGAGCTTGTTAGTGGTGAAATGTGGCGTCTATGAGATGATTGTCAGTGATCTCAATAAAAATGTGGCCTATCGAGAAGTTGATAAGAAACATGAATTATAATATGTTATTGGCTATAAATTTACAGAGCAGCAAAAACATTCTTACTGCCAGATTATACATACAAATTAAAATTTAAAAATTTAAAATATTTTATTATTGAATAAAAAAAAAAAGAAAAATACCAGAATATTATATAATTTAATTCTCTATATTTATATTTATTTAAATATTCGAGAGGTGTTAATTCCTTATTTGTCCATTTATAATTTCTGTTTTCAAAAACTAAATATACAAGCCACGTCAAGCCAATAAATAGCTTCAGCATTAAATATAAATAAAAAGAAAGCCTTAAGAGATTTTCATTAATTTTTTTTAGCGGGAGCACCAATAGTTTTGGTAATAACAGATTATTTTTAGTAATTTTTACAAACAGTTCAGTTTCTTTTATACTATTAATTCTAATCTTATTTTATACTTTAAAAATATAATTTGAATCGTTTATATCATTATTTATAATTTGTATTTTTAGATTTGCATGTTAATATTTTTGGCTATTTTTTATATATTATGCAGAATAGCATAATGCATCATGCAACATAATGCCGCATTATGCAATGCAAGACCAAAAAAACATGCATTCGCACATCTCTAATCACAATATGTTACTACATGATTAAACAGTGTTGTAGCTTCATTTGGACTAATTTCTAATGACTTATTTAAATCCGCAAGTGATTCATTGTATCTTCCTAAAAAGCCATAAGTCTTTCCACGATCACTGCATTATTCGGTTCAATTTCCAATGCTTGATTTAAGTCTGCTAATGCTTCATTAATTTATATGTTTAACTACGATTAGATAATATGAATGCGAAATTCGTTTCGGTTTGTAATGATTTGTTAAATTCCATGATTACTCACATAAACGGTCAATTTTATTGATTATTGTCAATTATTCATGTTTCCCATTTCTTTATAAATGCATGCACGATTATTTAACGTTATTGCATTATTTGACCCAATTTTCAATGATTCATTTAAGTCTGAAAGAGATCTTTCATATTCATTCGGAAAAACAATTCTAAGCATACATGACGCTGCGGAATTATTTGGTTCAATTTCTAATTTATTGTGCGATCCTACATGACTTTCCGTCTTTTCATTATATTGTTCAATTTCTAATAATTTATTTAATTCCGCAAAAAATCCTTCATACGATTTATTTAGTTCCGCAAAGAATACTTTATCTAATTCATAATTATTCAATGTAAATGTTTTATTTAAACATGTAGATGACTCAGATAATTCAGATGGTTCTTCATGCTTGACTATCTCTTTATGTATAACATCATAATTTGGCTAATTTTTAAAGGTATTCCTAAATTTGTAAGCGATTCAAGGATAGATATCATGTCTAAATTCGTGAGTGATTCCCCATATTTGTCTGTCTCTTGATGTATAACATTATTGTTTGGGCTGACTTTTAAAGAAATTCCTAAATCTGTAAGCGATTTAAAAATAGATGTCATTTCTGATCTGCTTGAATTAGCGAGTGGTTCTTCATTTCTACCCATAAGGTGATATGTCAATCTACGATTATTTATTAATGTTATAATATCATTCTAATTTGTTGAAATCGGCAAGTGATTCTTAATATCTGCCTATTTTTTGATATATAACTCTCTATTAGTTAACATTTCAAAAGTTGGACAAATTTCTATCGCTTTATCTAAGTCAAGAATGGATTTTTTATATAAACCATACTGCAATATGTTAAACTACGCCTATTCAATGTTATAGCTTCGTTTGGCTAGATTTTTGATGATTTATTGAGATTCTTCATGCCTTCACATCAGTCGGTAGGTTTCTCCGCGATTAGACAACGTTGTAGCATTACTTGGACTCATTTTTAATAATTTATTTAAGCCAGCAAATGACCCTTCATATCTTTCAATATATCAATGAGTTAATCCGCGATTACTCAATATTATAGCATTATTTTGTTTGATTTCTAATGGTTTATTAAAATCGGCAAGTCATCACCATATCTATCCATATTATTATATGTTGCTCCACGATTCGTCAGTGATACAGCATCATTTGGATTAATTTCTAAAGATTTGTTAAAACCAGCAAGGGATTCTTTATATCTACCTATATTGTAATATGGGGTCTTTGCCTTGAAAATTAAGTATGGAACATATGATTTACTATGTTCCGTAACTCGATTTTCAAGGCAAAGACCCCATATGTTAATCCACGTTCATACAATATTATAGTATCAGTTGGACTGATTTCCAATGATTTATTTACAATATCAGCCAGTGATTGTTTATGATTGCCCAACTTACGCCATGTTATACCACAAAATCTCAATGTATTAGGGTCACCTGGGCTGATTTCTTATGATTTATTGAAATCAGTAAGCGATTCTTCATATTTACAGAATCACGTAATGTTGTAGCATCATTTGGATCTTTCTAAAGATTTATTTAAATAGACATTCCAGGATGAACTTAACCATATATTATGGTCACTGGAATAGCGAGTAAGTTCCAATAGAATAAAATTATAATATTTTCAATACAACACAACTTTAATTAAATACAGTAGCATGTTCTGTATGAAATTATTTACAGTAACTCACAATAGAAATTATGATAATCCCAATACAAACTAACTTAACCACATATTGTGATTACTGGAATACGAATAAGTAAGTTCTATAGCAGAATTATAAAATTATCTACATACTGTTAATAACTCGCATGCAAACTCAATCACATATAGTAGTCACCATATCACGCCGGTGATAGAAAAAATGATGAATAAATAATATAATGTAAAATGCATTGTAATGAGAAACAATATAGAATAGTTAAATAGAAATATATTATATATAACCTGAGGTGTAAAAAATTGGCCAAAAAATTTGTACTAATATAACACTACAAAATAACAAATAATGTGTAAAGGCTACAAAATAAACGCCAAATAATTTCACACCATCATTAATACAAAGTTCTACCTGTTTCGCTATAATTACATATAATATGAACTCGATAAAAATTTGAGAATCACTAAGATTACACTACAATATAATATAACATACTCTATTCTAACTTCCTTTAAACAACTCAAACGCCTAGTTATCCTATATTAAAATTAAGGAATAAAATTTTGAACTATAATTAAAACAATATCACTAATAATGTAAGATAAATTATTCCAAAAGGTTTGGATCGAAATTTCTTAATAATTCTTCACATTTTTCCCAAAATTTTTTTGCAAATTCTTCATCCGCAGTTTGACCGGTAAAACTAATTTCTTCACACTTTCTAAAAGACTTACCACCATCATTAATGTTTGCATTTAAGACGGGGTACATGATATTGATTGCGCCAATATCTGGTGATGAACCGAATGCCATGGCAAAGCGTTTTAATGGCTGTAAGTACTGAGGCATATCACCCGCATTTGTACTTACGAACCCTGGAAAGCATATTAAAGGTATGACATCTAAATTAGAGTAATAATGAATTAAAATTTGAATATAGTAATTATGGTTAAGATCACTATAAAAAAAATATATTTAAATGTTAACAATCATATAATGAAAAACTTACTTGATCCTTGTAAACGACGATTAAGTTCATTACAATAAATATGTTCCTAAAAATTATATAAACATAATAAATTAATATTATACATTTAAAGGTCTAATCCATTTATTACTAACCATTAATTTTGAGTTAGCTTGTAGTTTAAAAAAACCGGGACATTTTTCACCCTTCAAATCATCCAAATCTATTTCTCCAAAATTTTCATTATCAGAACCTGTAAAATTTATTTTACACGGAGATTCAGGTGTTGCCGAGTTCTTCATAGTCGGAATTAGAAGGGTAGTTAAGAGAAAATGTGAAAGGAAATTAACCTTGTTTTAAGAAAATATATAAACTAAAATCAATAAAGGTTTCAATAAAGAAGAAACAATTTATACACCAAATTTACTTGGAATTGTTGTTCGAAATTATTTTTTGTCATCTTCACACTAAAATTAAAAATACCTAATTTTTTTTGTATTTTACGCTTAAATTTTAAAGAAATAATAAAATGAGTAACCTTGATTACGAATTCATGATAATACACACCAGCATTATTCCATAAGTAGTGCAATTCTCCAACTTCTTTAACAAATTTATCAGCAAAACTCTTCACACTATGTAAATCCGCAAAGTCAATATCCCATAGTTCAACACAGTCAATCTTTACATTTTGAGAATTTCGAATGTATTCCAAGAGTTGTTCACCTTTTTCACGATTACGAATTGGTAGGATTAAGCGTTTTGGATTGTATGATGAAACTATGCGAGCTAAACTTTTACCAATTCCTGTTTCATTGGCAATAATAATAATACTGTAAGAATAAGAAACTACGTTATTATAATTATAGAAAGAGAGGACAGACCATCTGTTGAACCGGTAATTATGACAACTTTATTTGATAAGTCGTAAGATTTAATGGTTGACTGATTTGCCCCCATTTCAAAGAGAAGAAAGGTTTATTAAAAATAAAGTTAATGTGATTATAAATTTATAGTACTAACGGAAATTATAATATTAAGAAATATTATCAAAAACTCGTGATTATATATAACATTATCGAGTTGGGGATAAACTCATTGTATTAGTTTCTAATGCCAATAATGAAGCTGAACAACATAGTTCAAAAGGTGTACGAATCAACTTATTTGTTTTCTAGTTTAAATAAGGAAATTTGCATATTCTAGAATTCTTTTAACCCTAAAAATATATATTTAGCCGTTTTATTGAGTTATTGTGATTCCTAAAATCATACCGAAAGTGTATACAAGATTGTGCTCCGGATGATCATGTTATGGCCCCGATGACCACTTAGTTGAACAAATCTCGACTTTCCTTTGCACCTTTATTTGCGCATAACATTAAAGAAAGAAAATAAAAATGAATTTTATTTATTTATTTGATCTACTAAAATTCTTTAATAATTACGCAACAAAACATAAGTTATATGATAAAAAACAAACTGTATTCTAAGATATTTAAATAACTTTCATAAGGAAAATTTTTCTTAGTTCTTTAAATCATCTTTAATGTTACTTTTTATTATTACAAATACAACTCTTTCTATAACGAACTGACGTACTGAAAAAAAACAGGTTCATTATAGAGAGGTTCGTCATACTGTATTGAGCCTGCTTAGTGTTACAAGCCGGCTGAGGCAGCCGCGGCTAAGGGAGCTTAGCCGGTGTTATGCCCTGAATATGCATATTATTTTTTTTAGTTGTTTATTTGTTATTATTAGTATTATTTTATTTTTTGCTTATTTAGGTATAGCTTAGGGATGATCAATGTGGCGTATAAAAGCATTAGACTCCTAGAGGGAGTTATACGCTCTTAATGAGAGTAATTGACTCCTAGTTGGAGGAAAGAGCTCTCAGCGGGAGTTTGGGACTCTAAGCTAAAATTTAATTATAAAAGGGATGCGTTTCAGCTTTGAATAAAACAATTATCACTCGCAGGTATTCGCATTATTATATGCAAATACGCTCGGGTATAATTTTATTGTTTAAACTTTATTGTATTCATGCTCAAGAGAAAACAAATAATAAAGAGAAAAACCTTTAACCCAGAGCCAGTGGTCGTTAACAGCAAATATAGCTAGCAAAAATAGCTAGTAAAATTCGCACAATTAGCAAAAATAGCAATTTTTTTTTTTTTTTTTTTTTTTAACTCGCAGTCTAATGCTATGGTACGCTGTTAGCGTCCAATTTACAAACTAAATTTATTATGAATTTATACTTTAAAATTCATTTACATCATCTTCGCTAAAGTCATGTTCATTAAAATATAAAAAATTTAACCGTGCAATATTTTTTTCAGTAAGAGACCTCCGTTTATCATCTAAAATATGCTTATAATTTGAGAATGAGCGCTCAACATCTGCAGCTGAAACAGGGATCCAGATATAAACTAAGGCAATTTTTGAAAGTATAGGTAATGTATACAATTTGTCTTTCCAATACTTCTCTAAATCAAACCCGACACTAATTCCAAAATTTTCCACCATATTACAATATGTATTCCATTCATTAATTAATTGGTTTGATGGATTTTTAAATTCGAAAATATCCGAATAAATTGATAAATTATGCTTTAAAATATCACCGCAAATGAATTGAGGGTCAAAACATTGAATACTCTTAAAGAATGGTAGCGCATTATGATGTTTAATGTGCTTTGTAAATTTGTTATACGCCAAATTGAATGCTTTTCCAAAAATCTCCTTAAAGTAGTTAATATTTAGCTGTTTTAGGCTTATATAGGTAATCATTTCATTGGAGAGTGGCGGTGCAGTTATTCCATTCTGAAGCATTTCCTGCATTTGTTGAATTCGGGAGAAAACACTTGGCGCAACTGGAGTATTTCTAGTTTGAAAGAAGTCCAAGTCATGTATTAACCTAAAAAAAGATTTTTTATACTCAGGCTCGCTCCTAGCTTCATTTTGATATGAAATTTATTACAAACGGTCTAAAATTGACCGTTTTACAGTCAAATTACTCTCCAAAACGTATAAAATACATATCAGATATTTAATATTAATATATAAATTATATATCGATATATACATGTGCCTCAAACTAACGCTTGCCTCAGATCGCTGATGCACCTCAGATGCAGAAGGTGAGGTGCGTAAACTATCAATCTATCATTTAAAAAGTAAGAGTAAAAAAAATCGAATAAAAGACTTTTGATTTGGCACTTTTTTTATTCGTGCTTTCTTGAATCTTTTCAGCACCTCTATTCTTTTCTTCGAAGTTCTTGCCTGAATTTCGATCCCAATTAATATGTACTTTTTTTTTCTATATGTACAGTTTTTTTTTTGCCTAAATTTTTGCTGCATATTTTTCATGCTTAAGTCTTCTCAATACATTTAATTTCAATAATACTTTTTTATTCTATACATCTAATTTTTTTTTTCCGTACTTAATAACCGATCGATAGATTACGCACCTCACCTGACAATTTACACCTGAGATGCGTTAGTCGTAATCTGAGGCAAGCATTAGTATGAGACACAATATACATATAATATATACTGTATTTTACAGTTATTGCACAGTGTCTAATGTAATAGTCCCGTATCAATAAGTAAATGAAAAAAGCATGAAGATCCATGCTATACTTACTTTTTTCCATTAAACGTAATAAACATAGTAATTAATTCAATAAGAATAACTGTATCTGGGTTAGAAAACTAGCCCGCGAGATTAATAATGGCTTTTGAAGGATCGGGTAATTTACTTTCTTCTTGATAAAAAGTAATCAAGTATTTCAAATATGGTTTCATCCAGATAATAAACCGGAACCAGGAAAACCACCTAGTTTTTACAGGTGATGGAGGTAATGTTAATCGAATATCTTCATTTGATACATGTGATGAAAGATGTCTTAACCAACATCGTGAATGTTGATTTAATGGCTATAACAACATTATCTATAATTTGGAATTTATCATAATCAAGCCATGTATTTTCAACCAAATTATATATATGTGCAAAACAAGTATTATGTCGCATTTGTGGAATTAATGGTGATAGAATATCTGAAAAAGATTTATTCATATAACCTGCATTATCACTAATGTATAGAATAATATTTTCAAAAAGCAAGTTATACGAAGAAATTGTTGAAACGACTAATTGTGAAATAGTGGAAAAGTTAATTTCCATAAGAAATTCAGTTTTTACAAGTTTTGTGAACTTATCGAAACTAAAAAGTATATTAACGACGCTTCTTTCACATGCGTCAGTTGTTTCATCAATGGTGATGCTAACTTTTTTGTCTCGAGCAATTTTTCTAATTCAACATCATAAACAAAAGGCAAATATCGTTGTCGAAGCTGACAAGCACTTACAATTAAATTGCCTAATAAATTAAAATTTATTAATATATTATACATTTCATAATTTTTTTTTTAAAAAAAATATAAATACCGTTTGTACAATATTTTTGTAAGAACGGTTTTAATTTTTCAACTTTTTCTAAAGGAATATCCGCCTTTGTAAAAGCCTTAATTAAATCGGTATTAATTTCTTGTTTATCAGTTACTTGGGTTTGAAGTATAATTAAATTTTGCTGATCTAAAATTTCACTAGATTCAGCAATTTTTTTTTGTCTTTTGTGTTTATTAGTTTTTAGATGCGAATCTAAATTATGTTTTTTCTGATGATCAATAAGACATTTACAAAAAGTACAATAAATTTTTCCTTCACTTTCATAAAAATCGGTTTTGTATTGAGGATACCAATCTAAAAGTGAAATAACTGGCGGCATTTTTTTTTCAAAAAAAAAAAATTTAACTAATTTATTATTTTATAAATTTATCTTTGCTACGTATGATAATTGTTTAACAAATTGGTCAAAAGAACAAAGGCACTAATCACGTGTTTAGTGCGATAATAGCAAAAATCGCATCTTAGCACAAAACAATGGTCACTAGCTATTTTGCTAAAAATAGCGCTATTTTAGATGCTACAAAAATCCACTGGCTCTGGTTCCATTGTTGTAGCGACTTCTGGTCGGTCCTTCTTTTCAAATATAGATAGGTACTTGTATTCTTTTAAAATATTCTCTAGATTGAGCACTCGTTTTTCTATTAGTTTTAATGGTGCTATCTCTTTTTGTACTTTTTGTTTTAGTTTTGTTGCTCTCCGGATTTGTTTAGAGGTGACTTTTTCTTTATCTTTTATTAGGTCTTCTAGTTCTTGTTCATTCATTTCTGTCAGTTCTTCTTGTTCAAATTCTGAATCTACTTCTTCAAATATTCCAGGGTATATTTTTTTTTGATCCGTCATTACTTTGATTTCTTTTGTGAAATTTAATCTGTTAATTATTTGTAATACTGAATAGTCCCTTATTTGGTGGAATATATAATATAAGTTGTGTTGGATCATTGGTATTAGTGATAGTTGTTGTTCTTCAATTTGATTTAATGAGTATATTTGCCATGGTCCTAGTGTTTCTGGTTCAATATTTTTTGGTTCTTCATTTTCTATTTTAAATATAAATAATCCTAATGTTATTAGGTATTTTGCTTGTTCAGCTGAGCATCCTGTAGCTATCCATTCTTGATCTAAGTAGTATGAATTTTCTTGAATTTTGATTAATTTTTCATTTTTTACTACTAATTGTGCTTCTTCGAATATTTCTCTATAGGCTGTTGCTTCTATGGTTTCTATTGGTATCCCATAATCATTAAGTTTTCCTTTTCCTCCCATTCCATTAAATGTTCCAAAAAACGATTTGTTAGGGTTTATTCTTTG